ATAGTGAATTACAAGGTCTGGACACAGAATGACGTATGTTGCGAAATATTGAAGAAATTAAAATTTTCTGGAAATATTGAAGAATTTTGGAGCCAAGTACAAATATTGAAATATGGAGATGATACATTCATGTTTCCCATTTTAACCAATTTTATTTGTAACCTGCTTATTCTACTTCACTTATCAGCCAGTGTTGAACGGATATTAAGTTGAGAAATAAGCTAAAAACGAGTACAATTTAATCTTTACTTCTTTACTGACTCATGCTTATTTTAGTATGCCTGTAAGTTTAAAAATTAAAGTTTTGAAAAACGCGCGATTTTATGGAGCCTTTTTTTGGTGAGGTTTTAGACCACCCAACCAGCTCTAGGTGGTGCTTAACAGAGCATTTCCAAAACCTCACCAGATGGAGCCCTTAATAATGAAAGGAAAATGAGTCTACCGATTTTCTACCGAAAAATGTCGAGCGTATCTACCGAAACTCGATTTTCGGACCTGGCAACCCTGAATCCCATTGCAGCTGAACGACTAAAATCTGCCGTTCAACCGTGGTTCAGTATCGAGACTGTCGTATTATAACCAAAGACATTAATAAATAGACTATGGTGCGCGTTGAAGCACCATGCGTTTTGTCCCGGGCCTACCTACTGGCATAGATGAAGACAAGTATAGATAGCCCACTCCCTTGCACAAAATGATAACAAGGTTTTTCACTGACACTGTTACCATCTATTTCTGTTCACAACTAACTTACGTCATTGCTGGGATGCTGGGTTTGCGTGCTTACTACTGTGTATTCAGGATTTGCTATTGTCGGCGAGCCAATACTACAATTGAGATTAAAAGATGCTTTTTTTCGTTATATTTGTACAAAGGCCAGATTTGTTTCTGGTTCATAAACAAATTTATAAAATTGAACATAAATATACTCCTAATCTGAATTGAAGTATTTCGGCGTAGCCATAGGTGCTTGAATATGTTGATAATAAAAACTCCATAAGCATTTACAAATTTTTATTGCAGTAAATAAATAGGCGAAACGCCAAGTACCATTAATTTGTGAAAGGTGTTTCTTATTGAAACCAGAAACATTTGCTCAAGAAGCAAAATCATGTTATGAATCAGAAAATGAGAACTTAAACAAGTTCCTAATTCAAAGTAAAATAACAACTTCATTAATTTAGTACAATTACCAATACAGATACATGTTAGGTACTCACTCATACCTTTAAATGCTGGAACATATGGTTATTAATTCCAGTATAAGAAGGTGTATGTTGTAGAACGTTTACAAGCATTTTACTGAAGGTAAAAATTGTAGGAATCGGTAACCCTTTCCGCTTTGCTTGAATATTGACAAAGCAAAAATTTTACCTCAAGTGAAAACCTTCTACCGCGCGGTTTCAACTTTTGATTTTTATTTTGGGACAAAATAAAGTTTCTTGTGTACTTATTCACATTTTCAAAATTTTGCAAAAGGGCCGACTGCGAATTTTTAAGGTCAGCTTTTATATTTTTATTTCTCACCTCTTGACGATGTACCAATTTCTTCAATTTTTTTACGCCCTCATACGAAATTTTGTTGCGAGGGGACAAATGCTTCTGCTGTGTAATTCCCACTGCTTTCAAATTCAGCCTCCTTACACCTAAAAAGAAAAAATATGTTACTACATTGAATTATTGAAATAATTATATATTATTAGTAGGATAATATGTACTTACTCGAAACTGTGGCACTTGCAGAAATCGTACTGGTGACAGCTGTAAAAGGGCTTTCACCGGGAAGAATATCATCTATGCACATAAATACAAATTATTAAAGAACTTTCATTTTAATACAAGCGTACCTTTAAATTTTTTCGGGGTACATAATTCAGGTGCTATTCGAGCTGAGTCATTTGAGCTGCTCTCCCTGGAAAGAGTGTCTTTGGAGCCTAAAAATTGATAGATTGCTAAATTTACATCTCATTTTCTTAAAATTAGTACTTACCCGGAACTGTGGCGATATTTGATGTGACATGAACATATTCATGCGATGGTCCAGGAATATCGCCCAGCTTGGCTATTGGTTGCACCAAGCATCTTTTGCCAGGATATACCTTGGCTGGCTTAATGACAGACTCCAACGGACTCGTATAGGTCAAAATCGTGTTGGACTATACCATACGAATACCATCTGTAAGTATAAAACAGGCAATCATGAAGAAAACAAATGTATGTAATTTTAAACACTAAAATACCTTTATTTTTGTCGGGAGTTACACATCCCCTAGCAGATGGTATACTCTCTCGATAGAAGCTATTCTCTATGGAAGGTGCAC